TTTGAGTAAATTCTTTATTTTCTAAATGCCACATAATTTAGATACACCTAAAAACTAAAATATTTATGAAAAATATTAAAAAATTCAATAAATATGTAAGAATAGAAAAATACTGAATTTTTATATTTGATAAATTTTTAAATTTCAATAATAAATATTTATATTTTAAGTGTATCATTTAAAAATATTAACATTTTTGATAAACAACAAAAAAAATAAAAAACTCGAAGTGTGTGACACAATTTTTTTTCTTTTTATCTGTAAATAAGGGGTACTTGTTAGTGATATCATTGTAACCCTTACCAGACTTATGCCAATCCAAAGAAAGGGACCAGATAAAAGAGGAATGCACCAACCTAGCACAAGTAGTAATGTCACAATTGACATACAACATAATCAATTTTATCGTTTAAAAAACGAACTGTTAGTCGCACCCAATAAGCCCTATTCAATCATGTAGAATGGTGACACATTTCGACTTCACCGCCACCCCTGTGGTACATAACACACTTGTTGGGCAGAAGTCAAATTGCGCGACACACTTGTTGGGCACCACATATGTGACACACTTGTTAGGCACAAACTCAAATTGTGTGACACACTTGTTGGGCACCACATAGAGTTGGTTTGGGATATAGGTTAACTTAAAAGAGGAATGCACCAACCTAGCACGAGTAGTAATGTCACAATTGACATACAACATAATCAATTTTATCGTTTAAAAAACGAACTATTAGTCGCACCCAATAAGCCCTATTCAATCATGTAGAATGGTGACACATTTCGACTTCACCGCCACCCCTGTGGTACATAACACACTTGTTGGGCAGAAGTCAAATTGCGCGACACACTTGTTGGGCACTACATATGTGACACACTTGTTAGGCACAAACTCAAATTGTGTGACACACTTGTTGGGCACCACACAGAGTTGGTTTGGGATATGGGTTAACTTTTGAATTTTTTAATTTTTTAACTATTTTAATTTGGAGTTAAAAAATCTCGTTTAGAATAGGTTTTTTTGATTTTTTTTTTTACTTTTGTGAGAGAAAAAATGAAATGATTATGAATTGAATATGACATTTTATATATAGTTATTTTAGCCCAAATTTACTTCTCAAACGGACCCATAATATGCCAAGATCACCACATAAGAAACTCAAAGTGTGTGACACTTGTTGGGCAATGGGCAACACATAATTTTTCAAACGAAAATTGCTTTATAGCTTGAAAATTTGGAGGCTCAAGTGGCCTGTCGTTTTGGCCTCTTTTTTTTTCTTTCTCTTTTCTCTTTGAAATAGAGAGGCGAGATAAGAAAGAGAGAGGGAACAGAGAGAAAATGAAAGAAGAGAGAAGAAGAAAAGAAGAAAGGGGAAACAGAGAGACAGAGATATATACAAAGATCTATGTGTGTATACACACAAAGGAGGGTTGCGATGGGCGACGTTGATGGCAGCGCAGGTGGGGGAAGGGTTTGCGACGGTGATGGCGACGCCTATAGGTAGGAGTTCTGGCTGTCTCTCTCTTTTTCTCTCTCTCCCTGTTCATTTCTCTTCTCTCTCTCTCTGTTCCCCCTCCATCTTCTCTATTTATTCTCTCTTCCTCCATATTCTCTCATTCGGTCTTTTTCCTCATTTCATTTTTCTTTCTGTTTCAGAGAGAAGACATATAGAAAAGTTAGGAGGGAAAAAGAAAAGAAAATGAAAAAAAAAAGGTACCAAAACGACGTTGTTTTAGCACCTCGAGCCACAAGTTATTCGAACTACATAGCGGGATTGTTTTTCAAACACACACACCCTATAAAATTTCAAACTAGTGGTGAAAATTACCAATTGCGTCGATATCAGCAAAACCCCTCTCTCTCTCTCTCTCTAGGTTTCTCTATCAAGGTAATTCGTCTTTCTTTGCCCCCCCTCTCTCTCTCTCTCAGTGGCAAAATGGAATCGATCTAACAGCTCTTCTTCCTTTTCATGTAGCAAAAATTTGTTGATCGACCTCTATATACATGGTCTTCAGCTTCCGATCAGCTAGCAATTCTGAGTTTCAACATCCGAATTTGATTATTGAGTTTCTAGGGTTTTTTTAATTTTTTTATTGTGTTTGGTTTTAATTAATGTTTTGAAATTTGAGTTTATTCTTTATTTTTTTAACGTATTTTTTCAAATATTTTAAGCGAATTTTTTATTTTCTAAATGCCACATAATTTAGATACACCTAAAAACTAAAATATTTGTGAAAAATATTTTAAAAATTCAATAAATATACAATAATAGAAAAATATACTGAATTTTTATATTTGATGATTTTTTTAATTTTTTTTTTCACAAATATTTGTATTTTTAAGTGTATCATTTAAAAATATTTTCATTTTTGATAAAATACCAAAAAATAAAAAAATCAAAGTGTATGACACACTTCCTTTTTTTCTTTTCTTTTTTTAATTTGTAAGCAAGGATACTTAGGCCTCGTTTGGGAACAGGCTAATTTAGTAACTTTTTTGCTATTTGGTTAAAAAGGTATGTAAAAAAAACTTGTATGTTTGGAATGACTTTTTGACTAATTACGAAAAGATGTGCAAAAAGTAGAGAGAAAAGAGAATCTTTGACTTTTTGGTATGGGTTGTTAGTTTTTTGGTTAATTTAGTAACTTTTTGGCTAATTGGCTAAAATAGCCTCTTGCCAAACGAGGCCTTATTGGTGATATCATTGTAACCCTTACCAGACTTACACCAATTCAAAGGAAGGGGCTAACACTAAGGTAAAACAGGAATGTATCAACCTAACACAAGAGGTAAAGTCACAATAGAAATGCAACATAGGGCTCGTTTGGCATGCTCCTTGGGGCTAAAATAGCCTTATAAAACAAAATAAATTATTTTAGCTAAATAGGACAAAATGTTACATTCAACCCATAATTATTTCATTTTTTCTCTCACAAAAGTCAAAAAACTATTACAAACGAGACTTTTTAGCCACAAACTAAAATAATCAAAAAAAATAAAAAGCTAAAAGTCAACCCACATCTTAAACGAACTCATAATCAACTTTATCGTTTAAAAAACGAACGGTTAGTCACACCCAAAAATTAAACCCTACTTAACTATGTAGAAAGGTGACACATTTCGACTCCACCACCAACCCAGCGATACATGACACATTTGTTGGGCAGAACTCAAATTGCATGACACACTTGTTGGCCACTACGTATGTGATACACTTGTTAGGTATAACTCAAATTGTGTAACACACTTGTTGGGCACCACATAGAATTTGTTTGGGATGTGAGTTAACTTTTTAATTTTTTAGTTTTTTAATTATTTTAGTTTTGGGTTAAAAAATTTCGTTTGGGATTGATTTTTTTGATTTTTTTGAGAGAAAAAATAAAATAATTATAGGTTAGATATGACATTTTATCATATTTAGCTAAAATGATCTATTTTGTCCTATATAATTATTCAATCGTGTTACGTAGCTCGAAAATCAAGTCTCGAATGACCCGATTTTTTTCTTCTTTTTCCTTTTCCTTTCTTGCCTTCTACACAGTTTCCTCCCCTCTCTCTCAAACAGAATTCCACATAGTTTCCTTTCCTTGCCTTGATTTTTTTGTTTTGTGCTTCGACAAAGTAGATACAAAATGAGAAAACAAAATGGGTTTGAGTTTTGAACAAAATAATCCCAAAATCACTATCCAAATCCACAGAATCAAAATCAAAATCAATCTACAGAATCAAAAACACCAAACCCAAAAATCAAGATCTAGCTTCGGCCTCTCTTTCAGCCTTTTTGTCTATGGCGATCTCTGTCCTCTGTTTCTCTACCGGCGCCGATCACTGTCTCCTCTGTGTATACACACATATTTGTTCTTTTCTCTTTTTCTCTACCTCCTCTTTCTCTCATTTTCTCCTTCTTCTCTTCTCTATCTTCTCTTCTTCTTCTCCTTCTTTTATTCTTATTCTTTTGTTTGTTCTATAGAGAAAACAAAGGGAAAGAGGAAGGGAAAAAAAAAAAAAAATCCAAAATGACATTGTTTTGGATAATCGCACCATTCAAACTAATTTTTTTCAAACTACCAAGCTTTATTCATAATTATGTTAGTCCAAATTTACTTTCCAAACGAATCCATAAGAGCATCCACAATGGGATAGCTAAATTGTTTGTTAAAGTGTGTTATATGACAAAAAGTGATAAAAGTGGGGCCCAAAAATGTGTTAAGGTGTGTTAAGAGTTTGTTAATTTTAGAGAGTGAGTGGTGGTAAAATCGATGTGCTAAGGTGTGTGTTAAGATGTATATTAACTGTATATACATATAAATAGTAAATAAATATATATATATATAACCATGATGATGGATCGAATATTATATATATATAAATAACTCCATACATGTCTTCTTCTTTAGAGCTCTTTTGATAGATCGAATATATTATATATATATATAAATAACTTCCTACCATGATTCATGTCTTCTTCTTTCCTCCAATTTTTTTTTATTTTTATTTGGTTCGGGCGTCTGGACATTCAGAGGGATGACCGGCCTGATGACCCCATGGTACTTCCTACGTCCCCTCTCTTTCTCATTCGTTGGCTAAAATGCAAACCACAGTTAATACACAAAACTAATAATTGACACTAACAGACCATTTAGCTAGTCCATTGCAACACAAAATAGTATTTTGAATTAACTAAAAATTAGCAACTGACTCTAACACAATATTTAGCTACTCCATACAACATTTAGCTATTCCATTACTGGTGCTCTAATATGCTAAGATCACCAAATAAAAACTAAAAACTCCTGTGTGTGACACTTGTTGGGCAATGGGCAGCACATAATTTTTCACACACAGCCACCCTATAAAATTTCGTACTTTTTTTAAGTGTGCCTTATATATAATATGCAAGGCATTTATAACTTTGTATTTACACCTTCTATGTATTAGGTTTTTTTACATTTATACTATTTACACCTTGCAACTTGCGTATGGTGTGCAGCTTTAAGATTGTACACTTAAACATTACTCTAAAATTCCAAACAAGGGGGTGAAAATTACCAATTGCGTCGATATCAAGCAAAACCCCTCTCTCTCTTTCTCTGTCTCTCTCCCTCTCTAGGTTTCTCTGTCAAGGTAATTCTTCTTCCTTCGCCCCCCCCTCTCTCTCTCTCTCTCTCTCGGCAAAATCGATTCAATCTAACAGCTCTTCGTCCTTTTCATGTAGCAAAAATTTGTTGATCGACCTCTATATACATGGTCTTCAGCTTCCGATCAGCCCGTAGTTCTGAGTTTCGGTATCCGAATTTGATTATCGAGTTTCTAGGGTTTTTTAGAAATTACTTTTTGTTATTGTGTTTAATTAAGGAGTGTGGTGTGGGTGTGTTTGATTAATTGGTTTTGTAATTGTGATGGATACCATCAGCAGGAGGAGGACTGCTCAAGGCTGCTCTCAACCCACCATGGACGCGGGTGATTGGAGGACCCAATTGCGACCCGATTCTCGACAAAGGATTGTCAATAAGATGTGAGCTTTTCTTCCCCTTTTCTACTTTTAATTTTGTAAATAACAGTTTAAGATTGTGTTGGATTGTGATTTTGTGTTGGGAATTGTAAGAAAAAAAAGGGGGGAAATTACAAATAATAGTGTTACTCTAAATTTTTAGTTTTTGTCAATTTAAATCCTAATTTTTTGATTTGTTTTTAATTGAAATTATTTGTCTATTTTTATTAAGTAAAATTCACGGAAAAAAGTGATATTTTAGTGATTAAACTCAGCGGAAAATGTTATTTAAAACATTTTATGTAAACTAAATTGTGTTTAATAATTAAAATACTATTTTTGTGCGAGTTTACTTAACAAAAATAGACAAATGATTTAAATTAAAAATAAATTAAAAAAATAAAAATTCCGAGTTTATTTTATTACAAAGGTGAAACCGTAGTTTTTATTTTTGTTTTTTGTAATTAACCCAAAAAATGAAGGAAGAAAAAAGTGGATGAAGTATATGGTAATGTTATGGTACACATCCCTCAAAAGGTGTGTACCATATGCATGCATTTTTGTGGTATATGTTACGTATTTTTGTAATAAATGTCAAGTATTTTTTCTGGTAGAGTTACATCAATTTGTGGCAGAGTTATGTCAATGTTACGTATTTTTCTGGTAGAGTTCCATCAATTTCTGGGCAATGACACATCAAGTTGCCACAAAATGTGTAACTTTATTTTTGAATCACAAATTGCCGTAACTCTATCAAAAAATTACATAACATTTACTACAAAAATACATAATGTGTTGCATATTGTACTCACCATTTATATATATATATATATATATTCCGAGTTTCCTTTTTTTTTTTATTCCACAAACTCAAGATCCAAGCACAACATAAAGGAATTCATAATTGAGATGTGAGTGTGTTTATGCTGGGATTTTTTTTTGGATACTGAGTTGAAGCATTGCATTGAGTCTTCTTTACTATTTTTGTTGCCAATTTTGGTCTTTCCCCCTTATTACTACTTTCAAGTTTTTATGTTGACAATGTTACCATTTTGTAATACAGTTAGTCTTTGTTGCTTATGGTCAAACTATCTTATTCATTTTTCTTTCATTTTGTGGCTAATAGTGGTTGCTATTTGTGCAAATAATGTCAAAAGGGTTAGTTAAGTACTCAATCAATCCTCCGAACCCGAACCCTATCCAATGAGGACTGAATTGTGCGTCCTTCACTTTGTTTGATCATATATCCATCTCAACATTCCCATTTCACCCAAGCTAGTTTTATTAACATGTTTCTTACTTGTTTGACATTGTGTCCCATATGGTATGTTGTAAAGCTTATATCATAAAATTTTTCTTTCTACTTTGTTGGTTTACATTCTTCACTAAATACTATTGAGGCATAACACTCTACTTAACCATCCTTTTTTTCAAAACAATGAATGATATCTCCAATTTTTTTCCTCCCTGAATAATTGAGTTTAGTATGAAAATTGTTCACTCTTTGGTTTTTGTTATTCTTAAAACTTTATCTACTTGTATTTCTAGCTTTAGTCAATTTAAAAACTATGCAAGAGTATTTTAGCTTTGGATGAAATATTCATATATATGGTATGTAAATATATTGTGTTCTACATTTTAAAAAAATGGTTATGTTAGTGTGTCTGTGTTTCTTAGTGCATTATTGTAGTTGTTGTGATCAACAATTTTCATCCCCTAAACACTTCCTAGCCTCAATAAGATTATTTTCAGATCATAAAAGCTTCTATGTGCTTCTTACTCAATACAATTCTTATTTTGCATACCCTAATTTCATGAAGGAATTTGTTATCTCCAGTCTCTATATGGTCGTTATAAACTTAAGGTTTCCAAATGATTTTCCTCCAACAAGCAGCTTCTCCAACTCTCTTTCATTTCCTTACCTACATATCATTGTTTTTATACACTTCTCCTTTGGCTTAGCAAGTCTACACATTCTTTTCTCCATCCTTTTTATCTAGCTTGGTATATGAATTTTCATATCTCATATGCTTTAAAATTAATGACTCTTAGTATCTTTCTGTTTTTTTTTTAATACACATTTGTGGCTTCTAAAATTCTCCTTATTTGTACTTTCTTGAAGCTTTCATAACAGTAAACAGGTCCTTTTTACTTGTCAAAAAAGAGGGGGAATATATATATATATATATAACCTTGTGTTTTCACTACGACTTCGACTTCGGCTTTGACTTCCACTTCACTACCTGATTTCCATTGAGAACATTACTCCTTCCCTGTTAAATTACCAAGAAATTCATTTCCCATTCTTGTAACACATGCAACCATCCTAGCATTATATTCCTAGAATCGTAATCCCGCTGCACTTATTTTGACATTTTATCTTTAAACAACTATGGCCATGTTTGGTTTGTATTTGTGAAACAATTTTGAAAAATAATTTTCTAGAAAGAGTTTACAAAATTTGAAAATTTCTTTGGTTGTATGTTTTGAAAATAGTTTTGGAGTTTGGGATGATTTATTTATGTTTTTGTAGTTGAATAGATGTGTGCGAGAGAAAAAATGATTGATTGATGTGTAGTAGAAATAAAAGTGATTTTGGAATTTTTTTTTTCAAAAATTTTCAAACAACAAAATTTTGAAATTTTTTCTCAAAAATTGTCTCTCAGGAGACAAACCAAACAAGGCCCATATTTTTTGTCCTGCCGCCACTTGGTTTGTAGGGCTCTAATCTCTTTTGTCTTTCTTGCTTTATCCCCCCTGAACCCTTCTCGTAGAATCACTTTGTAATCTTTGTATATTAGTCTTTCCACTTTTCTAGTGAATAAAAACTATGACTCTTAAATATGTGAACAAATTCATGCCTATATATGGATATGGACATATATGTTGGTGTATTTGTTAATTTGTTTGAATTATATGCTGTTGCCGTTTGAAAAAAGAAAGGACATGTACATTAATAACAGATCCCAAATGCCCTGGTCTGCTCATCTCCAACTTCTGTATGGTTGGGTTGTTCAAATTTCTTGCTTTCAAATTCTAGATTTTATTGAATTTGAATATTGCTCTATGCAGAACTTGAGTGGAAACTGGCTACAATGTATGGTGCTGCTATAATCACTCTCATATCATTTTATGATCTGCCCTGTGATAATCGGAGATCCACTAAAAGATTGGCTGTGGATTCACTCATAATTCTAAAATTTGTAAATGGAGAGTATGACTGATGGCCCTACATTGGTGAATTAATGGAATTATATTATCTATATATTATGGTCTAAAAGAGATTAATGTTCAATTCCTGAGACACTGTTAAATTTTTCTGAGCTTGAGGAATATTGAATGAAGTCTCTTGTTTGAGGCTTGAAGGCATTATTAGGGTCTAAATAATAACATGTTTTTCTTGGATCAAGCTTTTAATTTCTTATTATTTATTCTATGTATTTTAAATTTGAGAATGTTGTCCACACTTTAAATTGTTGTATTCTATGTATGCTTTTTATTCTATGTATTGGATCAAGCTACTTCATTTTTTTTATTCGATAACTGCATGGTCGGTTAACCATTTCATGTGGGCAGAATGGACACTTTGAAGAGGCATCTTCCCTTTACTGGAGAAGAGGGACTGCTTGAACTCAGGAAGATTGCTGTAAGGTTTGAGGAGAAGATCTACACTGCTGCCACAAGCCAGGTATATCCATCATTTTGGGCATCTTTTGATTCTTTTTATGTATATGATATGTAGCATTTGTTCATTTGTTTCTTTGTAAATTTGTAAAATTTAGACTTCGCCTTCTATATTTGTATGAAGAAGAAATGGTCTGTTGGTTTTGTATAGAAATGAAGAAGAAGAAGAAGAAGAAAAAGAAAGATCTGCATTTTACCTTCTATATTTGTATAGAAATGGTCAGTTGGTTTTTTTGGCTTTATTTTCTTGATTTCTAACTGCAGTCTGATTATCTGCGGAAAATATCTCTGAAGATGCTGACGATGGAGAACAAACATCAGAATTTTGTTGCCAGCTCTCCACCGTTGAATGCTGCCAGTAATATCACAAAGCCTCCACATACAGGTAATAGCATGAAAGATTTATTTGTTTTCGTGCTAACATGAACTGAAGTATACTTTTCTTTTTCAGCAAATACATGTGGTAGATATCCGGTATTCTGGATGTCATATTGTTTTGATACCTCACATTGTTGTGTTTTTCTGTCTCATCTTTTTTCGTGGAGGAGTTTGCTCTTCTTTTTCCCATTCTTGCTTATGTATATTGGTGAGCAGTCCTGGGGAAAATATTTATTTTCTAGTTGTAATTGGCTGCTGCAGTTTTGCATCATCACAATCATCACAATTACCACCTCAAACACCACCATCATTATACTACTTTCATTTTATTTATTTCCTTATATATATATATAAAGATTCTAAGCCTTTGTACAATAGGTATGTAATTACATAAAGCTCAAGCAATACTCTACAATGATCAAAATTTATAAAAAAGCTCAACACGAATGTTTTCTCCTCTAAAATCAGCAAGAGCTCAAAGGTGATTCACACAAAGACCCTTTACGCCAAAAATGAAAGCTATGCCAGACATGTCTTGGAACTTTTGCAACCCCAACTCAGTTTCCTTAAAAGGCAGTGTTTGGCAACCTGTTGGTCAGGCTATTTTAGCCTCTTTTACGAAAAAAGCCATGTAGCCTGACTGTAGCTGAGGTACCAAGCTTCTATCCAGCTGGATGTCACTATGTTGGTAGAAACTAGAAAGACATTTTTCCCTTTGTGTAGCTCATATCCAAGCTGCTGTCCAGCGTGATGTCACCAACTGAATTCATTTATTACAAACAAATTTGTGAACCTAAGTCAACAAAGGTTGGATGGTGGCAGTGGCATTACTGCCTTTTGTATTTTATTGTTTTTTGTATGGCAGTTTGGTCATTTTACATTACATAGTCATTTCAAACACATTTTTCAATACAACAACTCAAATAAAAATTCATCCCATCTTCCCAAACACAAAAACTAAAATAGCCTACTAAAATAGTCAAATAGCCAAAAAGCCCTATGAAGCACGGACACTTCTCCGAGGGCTTCGTACCAATGTCGGACACGCGTCGGACACGCGGTGGACACGTGTCCGACCGCGTGTCCGACACGTAGCAGAGAGTGTCCCCTTTTTTTTTTAATTTTTTTACATCCGGACACGTTCCGGACACGTTATAGACACTTTCAAGACACGTTCGGAGGGTAATTTCACAATTTACAAAACTTTTTTGGGGCAATTTGTAAATAAGTAAAACAGAAATATCTGCCCTAATTCGATTAGCACAGAATCTAAGGGAGAACATAAGAGAAAGGAAGAGACAGGGAGGACCTGGTTGCTCGTCGGTTGTCTCTGCTCCTCGTTGATCGTCGCTCCTCGTCGGTCGTCACTCGTGTCTTGTCGTCGCTCGTCGTTAATGTGCACACTGCTCTTCTTCATTCTTCTTCGTCGATCTTCTTCTTCGTTCTTCCTGTTCTTCGATCTTCTCAGTTGCTGTCTCTCTCTCTCTCTCTCTCTCTCTCGCACCCTTTTCTCACTCTCTCTGTTTGATTTCTTTTCTTTTATTTTTTTATTTTATATAATGAGTTAATGAGTTATTTTTTCTTTTATGTATACTGATCCCTCTCTCTATCTTTTTTTTTTTTTTTTTCTATTTTCTTTTTTCTCTCAATTGTGCCTCTATTATTTGAGTATATAATATATTTTTTTTTGGATTAGTTTTATTAATTTTAATAATGTATGCTTATTAATTTTATTATAGGAACCAATTTTAATAGTGTTATTTTGTATATTTTATTACATTTTAATGATTTTTTTATAATTTTATGACATATAATAAATAAAATTAATTATATATATATTGAACGTGTCCTAGCGTGTCGTGTCCTCCATTTTTTGAAAATTTGCGTGTCGGTGTCGTGTCCGTATCGTGTCGCGTGTCCGTGTCCGTGCTTCATAGAAAAAGCCTAAAAAATAGTCACTTCCCAAACACCCACGTGCATTTGGTCTTTTCTCTTCTTGAACACCCCGTGATACTCAAGACATATATGATTTCTTATTGCTCTTCCCCTTCCCCCCCGTTGGACCCAAAAAGAAAACACTCTTCAGGCTGACATTACCTTTTGGACCTAAAAATGCTCAAAAACAAGCTCAATAACTCCATTGCCACCCTGCAATGAATCAACAAATGATCTATAATTTCTTTTGCTTTGCGGAATACGCAACACCAATTAGAGTCTAAAGCCTATCTCTTGTTCAAATTATCACTGGTAAGAATGGAATCTAAAAATTTTATCCGATCAAAAAATGCCGCCTTAGTTGGCACACTCCCAAATCTTAAACAATCATTGAAGAAAATGAACTCCTCCTTACCTCTCCAATAATAAGATAATGGAAGGATCTCATTGTGAAAATCCCGTTGCCATGATTCCACCTCAACCAGTCCACCCCCGTTCCTTGGTATTGTAACCCCATAAAGCTGCTCAAAGAACTCATTTATTGCATCAACTTCTCAAATGGATCCGTCTAATAAAGAAGGGTTTCTCACCATACTACAATATGGAACCCTCAATAATTTGCAGCTAAAGCAGTACTAGCAGCAACACTATCACTACTAGAAAAGAGGCTATTTGTGTTGACTTGATGACAAAACACAGACACAAATCATCTTTAAAGAGGAATTATTTACGATGGTAGCTCTACTGTTGCCTATGAAGCACCGACACGTCCCTAGGCCTCACGTACGAGTGTCGGACACGGATACGCGTCGGACACGCAGTAGACACGTGTCCGACACTCTCTCTAATGTATCCCCCTTTTTTTTTGAAATTTTCCAGTCGGACACGCCATGGACGCGCCGGGACACTCTCTAGACACGCGTGAGTGGATTGAAGAAGCCCTAACTGTTGCAGAGGAGACAGAGGAAGAGAGAAGGAGATCGATGGAGACAAAGGAAGAGAGAAACCCTAATTGTTGCAGAGGAGACAGAGAAAGAGGACACGGATACGCGTCGGACACGCAGTAGACACGTGTCCGACACTCTCTCTAACGTATCCCCTTTTTTTTTTGAAATTTTCCAGTCGGACACGCCATGGACACGCCGGGACACTCTCCAGACACGCGTGAGTGGATCGAAGAAGCCCTAACTGTTGCATAGGAGACAGAGGAAGAGAGAAGGAGATCGATGGAGACAAAGGAAGAGAGAAACCCTAATTGTTGCAGAGGAGATAGAGAAAGAGAGAAAGAGATCGAAGGAGACAGAGACAGAGAGAGAGAGAGAGATCGAGGGAGGAGATGAGACAGAGAGAGAGAGAAAGAGAGAAAGAGATTGAGGGAGAAAGAAGCCTAACCTGTCAATCGAAGAAGCTGAGGTGATATTCTCCTTCTTCTCTTCGTCTTCCTCCCTTTCGTCTTTGCTTTTCTTCTCCTCCCTTTCGTCTCTGCTTTTCTGACTCTCTCTCGCTCTGGTCTTTGCTGATCCCTCTCTCTCTGCCCTTTTTTTTTTTTTTCTATTTTCTCTTCCCTCTTATTACCATGTCTATCTCTCCCCCCTTATTCTTTTTATTCTTTTTTTCTTTTTTATGTCTTTCTTTTGTAAATAAATACTAATATAAATAAATACAAATAATATATTTATTTTTTAATTTTACATATAATAAATAAAATAAATAAATAAAAATAGTATATATTTTTTAATTTTACATATAATATATAAAATATATATATATATTAAACGTGTCCCCAGCGTGTCGTGTCCCCTATTTTTTAAAAATTTACGTTTTTGCATGTCCGTATCGTGTCCGTGTCGTGTCGCGTAGATCTTCCATTGTTTTTATTTTTTATTTGTGGCATAGTAATTGATTATTGCTCTAATCTGTTTTTCTGGTCATGATCAATGATGATTCAGCCAGCTATTTAACTTGCGCCTAAACTACACTTTTTAACATATCCATCCACTAGCATGTTATTTACATGATTCCATGACTTTGATAATGGAAAAGTAGCTTGTTAGTTGGAGATCAGTGTAATTAGGCACAAAGAGAAGCAAGCAACCACCAACATGTTCTGCCAAAGTGCTGCCCATGAGGATCATCTGGAGCTAAATTAAGTTCATATGCCTTTCCGAGGAGTGTTTCTACCTATTTTTCCTTGGTTGATTCATGACGCTTGCCACACTTCACTGTTTTAATCTCGTGCATAATCCTCCTGAGCACATTCAAATTTGTATCGAGATTTGTTTTCATGGTAATGTCTTCATTGTTGTCCCAATGAAACATTTACAAAGAGACTCTTTTATGTTTTGCCATGGCTGATATCAGAAATTAGAGTATATGTGCCAATAGTAACCCATTTGTCCCCAACTTTTATTGCGTGAGATATGTTGATTTAAGACTAAAAACCAGAATTTGGTTCATGACTTGATTATGAAAAATTTGGATTCTAGTCACGTAGGACAATGTAGATATCATAATAGGATTAGTAGTAGGTAGATTAGCTTTTTTTTGAGGTACATGTAGTCAGTAAATTATCACTTCCCACACCCTATAATTTCTTTGCTTTAAATGTCTGGGCTTTCGGCTCCTCTTCTAAGCTTGGTGTCTTTCTTTTTGTTCCAGGAAAAGTGCACTGCGGCTCTAAAATTTGACCACCTGTAATGTTTTTATGCTCCTCTTCTTCTTTTTGTTTTTTGTTTTTTTAAGCAGATATGCTTAATTTTCATATCATTTTTTTTAAAGAAAAAAACTTCGATGAATAAAATCACTTTAGATTGGTAATCAGATGATAGCTATGATTTGTTGACACAATTATATCTTGGTTTGTTTAATTGTTCGAAGATCAATGCTTGCCTTATATGGTGGTGCTTTGGACTATATCCTCATCCAGGGTGGGGGGAAGATTGTAAATATAATTGATGTAACTGAAAGTTAATCAAATTTTTGTTTCATTCTTGTCATAAAATTTGAATTCTTATTAGTTGTTAATTTCTGTGGTTTTTAATATATCTCTAGACTTTCTCCATCCATTTTGTTTGGCGGACATTTGATGTATATTTATTTATTGTCGGCTTTTTTCACTTTTTATATTATATGTGTCATATAATTATCATATCTCAAACTCTCCTCTTTTTGTTCAGGTGCTGCAGAAAGTTGAGCTGATGTTGGGATGTGATGGATTTGTGTTCATAAGATATGATGGCTTGTTGGACATTTTCCTATTTGTTTATGATTTTACTGCTGTCTGAACATGAATGTTGGATAATATGAACATACTGTTTGCATAATCATATATATATATATATATATAGTATTAAAAGTAGAGTTTATTCTAAATTTTTTTCTTCTCTTATGTGGCATTCTATAGGGCACTCGAACCAAAAGTCTAAAATTGGATTTCTTTTGTCCAAAAATTCATGCGCTAAATAATAATGTCTAAAAGGACATGCTCTTATAAAATGACTAAACTATCCCTCCATATCTTCTATCCATCCTACACGTTGATATTATCTGTCTCTCACATCAGTCTCTCTTTTCTTCTTAGACCCCTCTCTCTCCCCCCCTCCCCCACTTTTTGCGTCTTCATCTTCGTAGTTGAGCCATTGCACTGTTGCCGATCTTGCCATATGACCCAGCCTTAATTCATCTTTCTCCACTGAATCACTAATCTTCTCTGCCAATTAGTTGTCGTCGGAGCTCCTTTCTACCATGATCATCATGGTATCTCTAATTATAAGGCCTTAGGGTTATAACTTTTTACAACAACTTAAGAGAGAGAGAGAGAGAGGGGCAATCACAATGTCTTCATTGTTGTCGTTGCTGTTTGTTGTCCTCTCCAGATCTGGTCATGTCTCTAAGGCTTAGTTACCTTCGAGCGATGCAGAGTTCCAGATCTGGTCATTTCTCAGCTTAGAGACGTGTATACCTCCTCACCTGGATGTTGCTGCATCATCATCTTCGTCTCGGCCCAGATCTGGTTGTCGTATTCATCTCGGCCAAGCGAGTTCGTCGAACTCAAGAAATGCCTTGCGGAGAGAGAGGGAGAGAGATCGATCTGAAAGCTTTGATCTCTTTGCTTTGGTTTATCACGTTTTGGCCTCCCCAACTTTGCAAAGCTTCAATCACTTCCTTCCAAATCTAGGTCTCTCTCTCTCTCTTCGATATGACCACTCCTCCGATCTCTTCCTTTGATTTCCTTATTGCCTCTGTAAGTCCTAGTGGGTTCTCCACCGTCGATGCGATATGTAGTGTTGTCAGATCCAATGACGCTCGCATTCTCTTGCTCTGAGTCTGGATGGTCGAATTCACCAAACAACTTACTTGAGAGTAATATGGTGCTTATCTTAAAGGGTGAATTTCAACAGATTAGTAGTTTTGATGTATGATAGAATGCTAGTTAAGAGGAATATGGTGCTTTGCTTTGTTATTATTGTCTCTGTGATTGTATGTGGTACATGTCCAATTCTCAAGCTTGAAGGAGTATTTTTTGGTTTTGTAGTTAAGGTGACTGACAGAATGTCTAGCTAAGAGAAATATTTTTCCTGTTCTTGAATTTCTTTCATTGTGCTGGTTGTTGTTGTTGTTGATGGTGATGATGATGATGAAGAAGAAATAGATTGCAGATAGGACATATGTGTTCAAAATTTTAACAGATAGAGGTTTAGTGTATTTCAATCACAAAGATTTAAATTTTAATAGATAAAAAAATATATAAAATGACTATTCACAAATAAAAAAGTAAACAAATAAGAAAAAATAGGCTTGCGAAATTCAACAGATAGGGAAAAATAAGTTTGAATTTCAACAGATAAAAAAATTAGAACAAAAATTTTATGATAGGGTAAGAATTTCAACAGATAGGAAAAAATAAGACAAGAATTTAAAGAGATAGATTTTTTTTTTTGAACAAATAGATATAATTTGAATAAATAGTTAACAAAAAATCAACAGATAAACTAAGCGGTAAAATTAAAAATAAAATGTCTTCCAAAACCAACGAAAGGACTTCTCACCGAACAATTTCGTGAACCTTTCACTACTAAAAAATATTTACTAAACTTAATGTCTTATATTTTTCTTAGATTGGATTTATCACTAATTTTTTCCATTCTATGTAGTGTTATATTGAAATTTTATAGTTTTATATTTTAAAATATGATATCATGAGAGTATCAAAATTGGCCCATTATTTTCATTTATTTATTATCAAATAAGTTTCTTATTCACATAAAATTGTAATACAATGTTCTTAAAAAATAAAAAAATAAATTGTAATATAATATATCTCATAAAAAAGAATTCATCAATTAATCTAGCTTTTTCCTCGTTTACCAAACAACATATCAAATTTTTTAAAAAAAATTATTTCTTTTTCTTTTAAAATATTACATACTCAGAAAATATACTTAAGTGTTCAAAGGATCAAATTAATTCTCTATTTTCACATATTTTAAAAATATTATTATATTAAAATAAAATGTCTTAATTCAGCCATAGAAAATTAGGAAAATTATTTTTAAAAAAATATTAGTGTTTGATCTTTGTAACAAAACAAATTTTTAATTTTGTCAATTTAAATTCTAATTTTTTGATTTGTTTTCACTCTATATCATTTGTCTATTTCTCTGAAGTAAAATCGATGAAAAATAAAGTATTATAATTATTAAACTTAATGAAAAACAGTATTTTAGACATTTGATATAGGCCTACATAAGTTTAATATCTAATGCAAATTATTTAAATTGATAAAGTAAAAAATTTAGGATTTATTTTGTTGAAAGGTTTAACCTCTAGTTTTTTTTTTTTTTTTTTTTAAATTTTCCTAGAAATTTTGTATAATTTTACTCTAAATATTGTTGTTCCAAATTTATGAGTGTAATAAAGAAAGACAGTGAGCTCAGCACCAGGTTGCAACTTGCACGTATGACTGAAAGTCAGCTCTTTTTTTCCAAAACTTTTACAAATTTTTATATATTACTGGTTCGGCAAGTGATATATGATTTTTTTATTATCAATTATTAGTATTGTAATTAAGAATGTTTCTTAAATTAGTATGTAATATGTATATAAATTATGAAAATTTATATAGATAAATTGATCTGTATTCAAAATATAACTAAGTAATAAATAATTACAAACTTGGTTGAAATATAACTAAACTAAGTCAAACCAAGTCTTAAGTCCCATCAAATGGGGTCGGTCTGCATGAATCATTCTTCACTACTAGGCTCTATACAAAGTCATTTTGTTAGTCAAATTAAGGAGGTCCTTATCTCTATTTATTACACTAGTTCACGTCAATTTAGGTTTACACTTTCCCCTAACACTACCATCTACTGTCACTGTATCGCATCTCTTTACTATTGTTTCTGTTGAATATGATCAAAACATATCAATCTATTCTCTCTCAACTTATCGTCTATTGGTACTATTCTACCCATTCTCGAATATACTATTCATAACTGTCTTTTCTAGTCTTGCCACACATCCACCTTAGCAATCCTTATTTCAGCAATACTCATCTTATCTACATGTTGTTTCTTAATTGTCCAATCTTTCCGTCCTATACAATATCGCTGGTCTAATAGCCGTTCTATGGAACTTTTCTTTTAGTCTAATGAGTACTTGTTTATCGCACAGTACTTTAGTCGCACTCATCCACTTAAACCACTCCGCTTTAATTCTATAGACTACATCCGTTCCAATCTCCCCAATTGTTGTTAAATGATAAATGAGAAATTTTATAAATATAAATATTAATTTATAGTTAGATTGTCGAGATCACAATCTCATCTGAAATAATAAACAATAAACAGGTTTTTAAATATATAGTATTACACAAATATTTTTCTATCAACTTTCCACTTCAATTTTTCATAATCTGTACCTATAATACAATTAAATGTATGAAATTAATTACATTATTACACAATTTTGTTTAATAGTTCATCTCACAATAGAAATTCATTGAACCCACTATTGCATATTATTTGCATACTATTAGTGTAAAAATGCATTACGTTGCGACTAGGGGTGTGCGCGGTGCGGGTCTGTGCGGTTTGAGAGAAAAATAGAAACCGTATGGCGGGTGGCGGATTGATAAAAGTGTCACTAGAATTTGCCATTTTCCTTATCAAAAACCGGCGGTTCGGTTGGCAAATAATAGCGGATTTGCCTTGGCGGTTCGGGCGGATTGGCGGTTTATAAAAAATATAATTCAAATTACAAAACTTAAATCAAAAAGTAAAAAAAAGACGAGAGATACCGTGATGTTAAGCATCTTGCGAAGTTTTCTTCTGATGCAGCAAGTGTAGCAACAACATGATAATGTGAACGACTATGCCATCAGTTCATTACAAGCATCTGTGGAAGCTACAATGAACAATGATCAAATACAATACATAAAATTCTCCTTGAGCAGTAATGTAATACTATATTCTAAGGTATAGAACAACAAGCAAATTTAAGTAAAAAAGAATTTTTAGAATCTTATAAAACATGATTTAATAGCGGTGCGGGTCGGTGCGGTTTGGAAGAAAAATAGAAACCGGAGGATTGATAAAAGTGTTACTAGAATTTGCCATTTTTCTTACCAAAAACCGGCGGTTCGATTGACAAATAGTAACGAATTTGCCTTGGCGGTGCGGTTCGGTGCGGTTTTGGCGGTTTCAGCGGTTTCGGCGGTATTATGCACACCCCTAGTTGCGACCCAACCCTGGTTGCTTAGAGTTGTGATCGTAACTTGCTAATTACGTAACTTGCTAATTAATTCTAATTTTACAATATATATATATATATATATATTTACACAAATTATTCACAATTTCCTTTCAATTTTTATGTGAATTTAATAATCTAATTGAAAAATGGAGCATACACAAAAATATAACACTAAACATCTATATTATGACTAACTATTTAATTTAATTATGAATAATCGACTTTTCATTGTTACATGTATTATATTGTTGAAAAAGATTTCACATATTATTTTGTGATATCTTATATATATTAATGTCTACATATATAAATATATTAAAAAAATATAAATGTAAATTTATATATATTACTGTATTCATACATTGTCAATTTGTAATGCTAAATTACCATCGGATACGTTAATTTTCTAATATATATCACTTTAGTAATATAGTTATATTTACTAAAAAAAAAATTATGAAATTGTGTATTGTTCTCATATCAACTTATGTTCAATACATATATACATACATGTCATACAAATAAGGCATCGTTTGACATGTGCATGTTTTAGTCTAAAAGTTAAAAAATTACTAAAAAAATCAAAAAGTCTATAAGCTATACCAAAAAGTCAAAAA